CGTGCCGATTTAAACCAAGCTCTAGTTCTGCTAAAGTATGCCTAAATTAAATTATTAGGTCTCCACACATACCTTTCAACGGAGTCCTGGTGGTCCATTGTGTCAGATAAACACTATTCACAACAAGTCTGTTCCCGCGGTCTGCACGCCAATGTATTCGGCCTTTCACGAAGGATGAATATTTTATCTGGACTGACCTAACTTCTCATGCTCGTGGGAGGTTCGAACGGCATCTAAAACGTCACAAACTACTGGTGGTAGACCTGCTATTTTATCATAAAATATAACTTAGAAATGTACTAAATGTAGAAGTATAATTCTAGATCGATAATTATACAAGTTTGCAGCAGCAGGCTCTTTGATAGAAACACGATACAAGGGAAGAGATGAACAGTATTGTTACAGATGGAATAGATGCTTGTTTCTAGGTCTAGTTTGTGCTGCTAATATCAGTGGCGTAACAAATGTTCTTAGGAAATGTGTGCTTCTATTTACACCAACACATTTTATTCAACAAAAATGGTAAAAGTTGCCACACCACTGAATATTATTTCTAATTAATGTCCTTACGATCGAAATCACTTCCACGAAGTCATCTAGTTCAATAATTGTATCTTATTTTTTAATATCAATTTCACAACAACATTAAGTTCTAAAACTCACAATCGCCATAAGCCTCCATATCATCTCATTAATTTAAATAAAACCACAATATAGACATCTGTTTGCTTACCATCATCACAATTTTTTGGTGTCAATCATGATATAACATATCTCCTTAATCCCTTATTACTTCTATTGAAAGACTTGGACATCAGTCAAATCAATTTGGACAGCATCTTCAGAAACGTTTTCATTTGGTGTTATTTAAACATTAATAAAACGGATAATAAGACATTTTCTCAACTCATAAGCAAGTTGTTTCAGTCAATTATTGCAGGGTGGTTCATTAATTCTATCTAGTGAAGTGAACCATTGATTCTATCCAGTGGAGAGAACCATTGATTCTATCCAGTGGAGAGAACCATTGATTCTATCCAGTGGAGTGAACCATTGATTCTATCCAGTGAAGTGAACCATTGATTCTATCCAGTGGAGTGAACCATTGATTCTATCCAGTGAAGTGAACCATTGATTCTACTCAGTGGAGTGAACCATTGATTCTATCCAGTAGAGTGAACCATTGATTCTATCCAGTGGAGTGAACCATTGATTCTATCCAGTGGAGTGAACCATTGATTCTATCCAGTGGAGTGAACCATTGATTCTATCCAGTGGAGTGAACCATTGATTCTAACGAGTGGAGTGAACCATTGATCCTATCCAGTGGAGTGAACCATTGATTCTATCCAGTGGAGAGACTATCCAGTGAAGTGAACCATTGATTCTATCCAGTAGAGTGAACCATTGATTCTATCCAGTGAAGTGAACCATTGATTCTATCCAGTGAAGTGAACCATTGATTCTATCCAGTGGAGTGAACCATTGATTCTATCCAGTGAAGTGAACCATTGATTCTATCCAGTGGTGAGAACCATTGATTCTATCCAGTGGAGAGAACCATTGATTCTATCCAGTGGAGAGACTATCCAGTGGAGAGAACCATTGATTCTATCCAGTGAAGTGAACCATTGATTCTATCCAGTGGAGTGAACCATTGATTCTATCCAGTGAAGTGAACCATTGATTCTATCCAGTGGAGTGAACCATTAATTCTACCCAGTGGAGTGAACCATTGATTCTATCCAGTAAAGTGAACCATTGATTCTATCCAGTGGAGTGAACCATTAATTCTATCCAGTGAAGTGAACCATTGATTCTATCCAGTGGAGTGAACCATTGATTCTATCCAGTGAAGTGAACCATTGATTCTATCCAGTGGAGTGAACCATTGATTCTACTCAGTGGAGTGAACCATTGATTCTACTCAGTGGAGTGAACCATTGATTCTACTCAGTGGAGTGAATCATTGATTCTATCAGGTGGAGTGAACCATTGATTCTATCCAGTGGAGACCCATCAATTCCATCCAATGTTTACTTCCCAAATACACCATTTCCTCGATATTTAATATTGAAAACAACACCATATTTTCGTATAAAAAGGGGATTTATTTGGTTTGCTAAGACATCTTATACTGATAAAATAAAGTAATATTAACAATGACATGAAAAATGAATGAAAAACTACCATGAAAAATGGATTTAGTGAAAATATTGAATTTTGTATTTTAAATTTGTAGACAAGTCAGTTGTTAACATTTTGGTTTAAGTTCCCAATTTATTAAATGCATTAGAAAATCATGCTATCATAAGTGTAAGTACAGCTATGTAAACACAGGATGAACAACTGCTATAGCTCAGCAGTAATTATTTCATTAATTAAAACAAAAACAAAATATTTGTTGCTTGTAGCATTTAAAAAGTGACAGTTGGCACACAAAATCTTGTACGCATCATTTTGTCCATGTTTTTAACAGCACAAAGAAGTGCACCACTGTCATTCAAATGGGATACCTTAAAATGATATCTCAAAGTTTATAAACAAAGTTTCCTGTATAAGAAGTTGACTTGAAAGCATGTACATTTGTATCTCTCATTTTGTTTATTGATACAACTCACAAGATGGTTGAATAATGCATAGATGATGACACAACCGATAAGATGGAGACATAACACTCATTATGGTGACATAACACAGAGGAACACAGGGTGGTGACAACAGACAAGACAGTGACAGAATGCACAAGATGATGACACAACACACAAGATGGTGAAATATCACAAAAAAGTGACAACACACAAGATGGTGACATATCACAAAAAATAGTGAAACAACACACAAGATGGAGACATATCACAAAAAAGTGACAACACACAAAATGGAGACATATCACAAAAAATAGTGAAACAACACACAAGATGGAGACATATCACAAAAAAGTGACAACACACAAGATGGTGACATATCTCAAAAAAGTGACACAACACACAAGATGTGCCGTATCAAACAAAACAGTGACAACATACATTAAAATATGAAATTAATGATTCTTTACAATGAATTTTATCTTTTACTTATGGTTAAAAGAGCAGCTAGGGTACCAAACAATCTTAAGTTTCAATTATTTATCAGAATTAAACCCTTGTCATGAAGTCTTCTTGCTGTAATTTGGGATATTTTCCATCAAATCACAATTTTAAACTTTTTGGATATGATATCTTTCACAATTGATATTTCAAGAAAATTCAATAAAAAAAGCTGTACCTTAAAATACACGTTTTTGAAACCAGCTCCTCAGGATCAAAGAAACCTTGCAGAGATATAAAATAAAAGAATCAAGCAGTAAAATGTTAAAAAAACAAAAACATGATAATAAAGGGAGAAATATGAAATTTCTAGATCTGAGATTGATGATCAACAGCAGCTCTAGTGTCATTTCCATAGAAATGGAAATATATTCTATCAATGGACAGATGTAAAAAAAATGGTGAGCTAACAAAGCATAAAACAATATGAATAAAAACTCTGGGTCTTAATCTTTCAATAAACTATATACAGCAATGAGAATCTGATGATATGGTTGATACCGAGGTCATGGGTCAATTTTTCACTCCCAGGCAAAATTCTTATTTACCAGTAAATGAAAATTTACCACTAGGGGCTTCCCATAAACCATGAATATCAACAGGCACCTGGGTACATATGTAAGCTCTGATTTAAAATACATTTTCATCAATAAGAATCAAATCTCTTATCACATAAACTTCTTCAATGTAAATGTCCCCACCCCAAACCCTGGCTTAGTTGAACACCCATGACCAGCATGTGTACAAGGATTAACAAAATCAGCAACTTAATGGAAACAGATTATATCAGTATTGGAGTAAGATTCTTTAATATCCTTACAGAGGCTTGCACCTCGATTTGGATGAAATCATGTTGAATAATCTTCGCCTTTGAAATAACCTGATTTTGCTTCGATACAGTTTTTATTCTCAGACACTGTTAGTCTGAATGATTATGAATTCAAGTATCCTGATTGTTTACTTCTATATATGTAAATAGTTTATACTTGAAAACAGTTTCACTATGAAGTCTGAATGTCTTAACTGATATAATATTATATATAACACCAAATCAAGGTATCTTATGATGAATGGAATGTATTCAATAAAGATATTCAATTTCATTTGTACATCTAGCATGAGTATACCTTCAGAATGTCATGTAAAAGCAGAACCGACCTACTGGACAAAAGGAGCAATCCAATCCATAATCCATTCAGTATCACTAGTAATAAACATACTTCAGGTGTGAGCAAATATGTTTTGTCAGCTTCATCAAAATGTTATATAACTGAGTACTTAGTAAAAAAATCCATTTTCTGGTAGCTCGAGGTTTTCATTATATACATGACTATTTACAAAGTTATGTACAAGTTTAAAAATCAAGCTGTTTAAAATGAGTATAGACATATATATTTTCAATTCTTTCAAAACAAAGGAAATAAACATTGTAGATTCTAATTGAATCAGATAATTTTTTATCCATGTAGCATGTATAAGGTAAAATTTCAACATAGGTCAATAATTTCCAGTTGTATCAAGTAATTCAATCTGTAGGTAAATTTGACTAACATGTCTGTACCTTCTATAGGGGATACACTGGTTCTAAACATATTGTTGTAATGATTCTTTACATGGCATTTGAAAATATGTATGGCAACTGAAATTATTTATATTCAACATATGAGTGTTTATTACTACAAGAAACCAAGTTCCTGCATCAAATCTGTCATTATATAGTTAGTTATATCTTATGTTTTTTTTGTCCCAAAATAAATTCCAAATATGTATGGCACTATCAACAATTATCCATGGCTATTATTTCTCATTGATCAGATGTGACTCATTCAAGATTGTCTAACATAACATTAACCTTAGAACAAATTCATGCCTTGGACGGACAGTCAGCCAGAGAAAAATCAAACAGCTATTTCACAGAAACATAAATAGAAGGGACAGCGCTAGCAGGAGGAAAACAGGACAGCTTGTGGGAGGGGCACCTGCTCGGATCTCTGACACTGTCGGGTCAATGGGTACTTGACCACCTACAAAAGAAGAGAGATTCCCTTTAGGTCTACATACAAGTCATTAACTTTATATAATATACAGGGGTTGAAGCCGAATTCATGATTTTTATCTTATTAACAACATTCTGGGACTGATACAAATTGCATATTTTTATACTTTTCAATACACTTTTAAAGATTTGTTTTAGTTTTGGTTTTGAAATCAAGCTTAGGTAGGTTTAAATCTTACCCAAAGTAAAGTATAGGGTTGGAGACTTCTTTCCTTCCCCACCGTCACTGAAACCAGCCACACGTACAGCATATACCTTGCCCTTATCAATGTCATTTAGGATAAATTCCACATCAAACTTTTCTGTCTCAATCATCTTGGCTGTTCGGTAGTGCTCGTTAGCTGGCCACAGGTAAATCTATCATAATAAAATAACAAAGTAATACCACATACTTGTTCCTACATAATTACAGATCGACAGTCGACTGCTCTGAAATACTATACGATATTATTTACATCTCTGTAGAATGTTTATCAAGCAAGATAGTTATAAGGATTCTCAAAACCTTAAGTGTAGATTAGGTACAGCTTGATAATAAGATTTATAGACAACATGACAAGCTTCTGTTATTCACCTGGAATTCAATGTTTTTTTAACAAATACATGTCATGAACATTGAAAGTAATCTATATCAAATTTATTTTAAAAACTCTGATAATAGCATGCTTATGCTGCAAGGTGAACATCTATCTACAATGGATGGACCCTTCTGTGGACAACATCAATTCACAGGCAGCTGAAGTTATTAAAATGTTTTCTTTACACCACTGTGACCAGCTAAATATTAACTTAGAACTTTCAGTAAATCTAAGTTGTTTCAGCATTGAAACATGTTTGACTCTAAGGTGTTCAATGTAGGAAAAGGTCATTTCTCCTCGTAAACATTGCAATCATCTTCCACGAAACCTACCAGCCAAATATCTTAATATTAGGCAAACACATGATCTTATACTTATTACTATTAAATCAAAGATGATATCCTGCCAGCCAAGTTATTTTTAAAAATGATCCATCCAGTGCTTCTCTAAAAATAGCAATACCAAACTAGAACTGTCAAAATCCAAGTTGGCCCCCTATCAGCCACGTTGTTGTTTTAGATCAGTCCGGAAATGGAATGATTCTCAATTAAGGTCACTATGTATGAAACTGGAAATAGATCCATCAAGAAAATCTAAAGAAGAAGTGATAATAAACTATTACTGTCTGATCTAAGAAAGCAGTCTGTAGGCCATGTTGTTTTTTCAAATGGAACAATGTGCAACTAGGCACCAAGGTGTCCCTATAAGAACAAATTCAAATAAAATCTACCGACAGCTAGAACATACCTTCAAACATCCTCCATCAGAGTATGGAAAGTGTGAAACAACTTACCCAAACATGTAATTAATGCCCCTAACACCAACATCGTCTGAACAAGCTATGGAAACACCAGGATATGTACTACATCTACTGAGCTGACGTTACAAACATGATAACAGGAAGTGACAGATTAACATGTGAAACTATAAACTCCTGTACTGTAAAACTACTGTAACTATAAGTAAGTACATATCAAATTTGAGAGATCAATGGAGTGCTTATCCAGAACTAGCAATAACCTATTCCATTAAAATCCAAGATGGCTGCCTGTTGGCCATATTATTTTTTGGATCAGTCTGAAAATGGGACGATGCACAACTAGGGACCAAGGAGATTCTACATATGAAATTTGAGAGAAATTTGAGGAAGATTTCCCTCGTACCTCTCTAGAAAGAGTGGTAACATGAATTGTTTTAGGATTAACAGACACACCATGAACCACAGGCACTTATGAAGAAGACATAAGTGCATTGTATCAATCTGAACTCTGTAATTATGAAAATTGGTCAGGCTTTATTCAAGAAAGCTACCAGCCAAATACCAGGATTCTCAACTTTTCAGTTAATCAAAATACGTTCTTTGAGCATTTCAACTACCTCAACCCCTGTGACCATAAATATGGGTCAAGGTCATTTCTTTTTAAAAAATACCAATCAAATATGGTGACTTTAGACCTCTATGTTTTTAGGAAGAAGATGTAAAAGGAAGATAATGACGCTGGATGGCCAACAGATGCTGCGTATCACATCATAAGTTCACTTGATCCTTTAAACCAGGTGAGCTAAATCTAGTTGTATAATTGTACCTGCACTCCCATGCATCAAATCTTGGTTTGGAGAATTTAAGCCTTATTTTTCTAAATTTCTCAACCCCAGATGTGTGAAATTTCATTGATTTCATATATTTCAGCAATACCACTATTTGTATCCATTAAAAGATATGATTTTTTTCTGTTAATAAGCAAAATATATGACATAAACAACGAGAAAAAGGTAAATACTTACATAATATCCCAAGAGAACGGCTTCCTCTACAGCTGTACTGACTCCTCGCCATGTTAACCGTACACTGTTTGCTCCATGGGAGAACACATGGACTTCCTGTGGGTATAACTGGGGAGCTGAAAGTAAACACCCACATATAAGTCTTATTATCAAAGAACACATGGACTTCCTGTGGGTATAACTGGGCAGCTGAAAGTAAACACCCACATATAAGTCTCGTTATCAAAGAACACATGGACTTCCTGTGGGTATAACTGGGGAGCTGAAAGTAAACACCCACATACAAGTCTCGTTATCAAAGAACACATGGACTTCCTGTGGGTATAACTGGGGAGCTGAAAGTAAACACTGACATACAAGTCTCGTTATCAAAGAATGCATGGACTTTCTGTGGGTATAACTGGGGAGCTGAAATAAAGACAGACCTTCAAGTCTCGCTAGCAAAGAATGCATGGACTTCCTGTGGGTATAACTGGGGAGCTGAAAGTAAAGACAGACCTTCAAGTCTCGTTATCAAAGAACACATGGACTTCCTGTGGGTATGTCAGGGATCTGAATGTAAAACACTGACATGGAAGCTTAAAAAAGTGGGATGCCAATATACAAGTCTAGATATAAAAAAAATACATTAACTTCCTTCTGTATAACATTTTCACCAAGTGGTAAAACTTACCAAGATGTAGGGTTTCTTCTATAAACTAATAACCTACTGGTAGAACTTACCAAGATGTAGGGTTTCTTCTATAAACTTATAACCTACTGGTAGAACTTACCAAGATGTAGGGTTTCTTCTATAAACTTATAACCTACTGGTAGAACTTACCAAGATGTAGGGTTTCTTCTATAAACTTATAACCTACTGGTAGAACTTACCAAGATGTAGGGTTTCCTGTATAAACTTTTCACTGAGTGGTCCGAGCCCTGCTGTGTTGTAGACCTGAACCTCAAACCAGAAGTTGGAGTCATCCCACAGCCCGATTACTATTGCCTCTTCCAACTGTCCTGGGTAACGAATGTACTGTTTGTACACTGGGTCTGTGTCTTCACTGAACCAGTAGTTCACCTAAACATAAACATAATTTTACTGATAATCCTCGCTGAACCAGTAATTCACCTAAACACAAACATAATTTTACTGAAAATCCTTGCTGAACCAGTAGTTCATGTACTACATACCTGGTGACCCCTGAAAACCCCTACCAGTACTATATACCTCTGGTAACCCCTGACATTCCTCATCAGTACTACATACCAGGTGTACCTTGAAAACCCTCACCAGTACTAGAAACCAGGTAGCCCCTGACGACCCTGAGAGTACTCTATACCTGGTTACCCCTGAAAACCCTCACCAGTACTAGAAACCAGGTAGCCACTGACAACCCTCAGAGTACTCTATACCTGGTTACCCCTGACAACCCTCACCAGTAAAACATACCTGGTGTACCTTGAAAACCCTTACCAGTACTAGAAACCAGGTAGCCCCTGACAACCCTCAGAGTACTCTATACCTGGTGACCCCTGACAACCCTCACCAGTAAAACATACCTGGTAACCCATTAAAACCTCCAACAGTGTTACTTACCTGGTAACCTCTAACTCGTCCTTTCATTGTTTCCCTGGTGTCAGGTACTGCTTGCCAGGTCACTGTCATGGCAGTGGCATTGTAACCATCACAATACAACCCTTGAGGTGCTGCGACTGGCACTAAAAAAAATAACACTGTTATTAACCTACCTCACCAGACACAAACATAATGTAATACATGCAATATTCTATACATCTAGGATACTTAATAAAACAATTTAATATGTGAATATCACAGCAATACAAGTGAAAACCTTTCTATCTATAAAATACAGGTCATACTTACTGCCCTCTGCTGAGTAGACCAGAACAACACTGGAGTTAGGTCCTCTGCCATAATTGTTGAAGGCTTGTATTTTTACCTCATACTGGAGGTAGAAGTTGTTCTCCCCTACCAACATTACATATTTTTCTTTTGTGTAATCGTATATCTTTTTCTGAAATATCACAAAACATATCTGATATCAATATGTCTGACTATAAATGTCTGTATGACAAGAATGCCCCTAGTGTCAAACAAAATAAATGAAGCAAAAACAAAGTTAAAGGTGTGTGTATAGTAAGACATGTGAATTTCCGGGCTTCCTTTCAAAAGAGATCAATGACATGCAAATTTTTCATCCAAAAAAATAACAAGCTCCTGAAAATTATACATGATATAGAGACCTAGTGAATTTTTTAGGGGTACATTACCAATACAGAATACTTTAAACTAAATTTCTTTCACATACAATTTACTTTCACCAATTTCAAGAGCAAAGAAAAATTGTGAAAATAAAATATTACTAATTAAAACCTAGATAGTAGCAATGGAAGTTATTAGCTGTGAAAGTTAGTACCTCTGAATGTTTATAGCTGTGAAAGTTAGTAACTGTAGCTGTGAAAGTTAACAGCTGTGAAAGTTAGTAACAGTGAAAGTTAGTAGCTGTAGCTGTGAAAGTGAGTAGCTGTGAAAGTTAGTACTGTGAAAGTTAGCAACTGTGAAAGTTAGCAGCTGTGAAAGTGAGTAGCTGTGAAAGGTAGTAGCTGTGTAATATAGTTATCTCAGACATCTAAAGAGAGCATAAATAATATGATATACATGTAACAGGGTTATTTGTTATTGTTTTATTTAATATAATTACTTCATGTCGTAAGTACCAGCTTTCGCTTTGCCTATTTTATCGTTGACGTCGTTATATATATATATATCCGCGTCCGTCCGTGTCCGAAGGTGTGATTGCCTTTGGTGGCGTTAGTGTCATAGTGTTTTATTATGTCTTGTGTTCTGATTGGTCAGTTGGTGTGGTCATTGTGTTTGTTGTTCTTTGTGTGGTCAGTTGGCGGGAATTTGCCAGATGACAAGTTTGTTTTGGAACTAGCAGTTGTGCTATAGATCTGGCTCCGACAAAGACAGACGATTTAATGTAAGTCTTATTATCTATAATGTCTTACTATTAATCTCACACTTTACTCTATTTATTTATTTATTTATTTATTTATTTATTTATTTGAATTTATGCAATTGGCAATGGCTAAACGTGTGTGATATGAAGTCTCATTGTCAAAGTACATGATGGTCAGATGTGTCTATCTCATGAGAGTTTTTTTATATATCTGTTGACTTTGTGTATATCAGTGTGTAAGAGTGTGTATGTTGTTATTTTTAGAATGTGATCCTGATCCTCAGTTTATTGAGTGTGGTTCGACGATCATCGGCCCTGCACTACATGCAGGTATGATATATATTGTTATATTTTGTAATAACCAAGCATATAGCCTCATACCAGATTATATGTATAATTATAAGAGATAAACGAAATGTACAGTGACATATTTCAGTTAATAAGATCGCTTTTTTAACTTGTACGAGTTACCTCCCCTTGTTGTTTTTTTTTTATAGTATGTAAGAGGCAAGAGTGTAATGTGTTCTATTTGTATTTGTTACAGGGTGTCGTCCTTATGATCGTAATAAATATACAGAACGAACTCCGGTGTTGTGACGTTTCTTGCAACCCCCGATTACATACAGAATATGACTTACATGGTTGAACTTAACACCATCATTGATAGGGTTTGGGTCATACAGCCTCCAGTACAGATAGTAGCCTACACCTGGTCCACCATGGTCTATACGATACAGCTTCTACAACACAATAATGATCACATGATGTACCTAGATCATCTACAACACAACAATGTACCTAGATTATCTACAACACAACAATGATCACACAATGTACCTAGATCATCTACATCACAACAATGATCACACAATGTACCTAGATATCTACATCACAACAATGATCACACAATGTACCTAGATCATCTACATCACAACAATGATCACACAATGTACCTAGATATCTACATCACAGCAATGATCACACAATGTACCTAGATATCTTTATCACAGCAATGATCACACAATGTACCTAGATCACACAATGTACCTAGATCATCTACATCACATCAATGATCACACAAGGTACCTAGATCATCTACATCACAACAATGATCACACCATGTACCTAGATATCTACATCACAACAATGATCACACAATGTACCTAGATATCTTTATCACAGCAATGATCACACAAGGTACCTAGATATCTACATCACAGCAATGATCACACAATGTACCTAGATATCTACATCACAACAATGATCACACAATGTACCTAGATATCTACATCACAGCAATGATCACACAATGTACCTAGATATCTACATCACAACAATGATCACACAAGGTACCTAGATATCTACATCACAACAATGATCACACAATGTACCTAGATATCTACATCACAACAATGATCACACAATGTACCTAGATATCTACATCACAACAATGATTACACAATGTACCTAGATATCTACATCACAGCAATGATTACACAATGTACCTAGATATCTACATCACAGCAATGATCACACAATGTACCTAGATCATCTACATCACAACAATGATCACACAATGTACCTAGATCATCTACATCACAACAATGATCACACAATGTACCTAGATATCTACATCACAGCAATGATCACACAATGTACCTAGATCTATCACAACAATATCACACAAGGTCACATCAATGATCACACAACAGCAATGATCACACAATGTACCTAGATCATCTACATCACAACAATGATCACACAATGTACCTAGATCATCTACATCACAACAATGATCACACAATGTACCTAGATATCTACATCACAACAATGATCACACAATGTACCTAGATCATCTACATCACAGCAATGATCACACAATGTACCTAGATCATCTACATCACAACAATGATCACACAATGTACCTAGATCATCTACATCACAGCAATGATCACACAATGTACCTAGATATCTACATCACAACAATGATCACACAATGTACCTAGATATCTACATCACAACAATGATCACACAAGGTACCTAGATATCTACATCACAACAATGATCACACAATGTACCTAGATATCTTTATCACAGCAATGATCACACAATGTACCTAGATATCTACATCACAACAATGATCACACAAGGTACCTAGATATCTACATCACAGCAATGATCACACAATGTACCTAGATATCTACATCACAACAATGATCACACAAGGTACCTAGATATCTACATCACAACAATGATCACACAATGTACCTAGATCATCTACATCACAGCAATGATCACACAATGTACCTAGATATCTACATCACAGCAATGATCACACAAGGTACCTAGATCATCTACATCACAGCAATGATCACACAAGGTACCTAGATATCTACATCACAACAATGATCACACAATGTACCTAGATATCTACATCACAACAATGATCACACAATGTACCTAGATCATCTACATCACAGCAATGATCACACAAGGTACCTAGATCATCTACATCACAGCAATGATCACACAAGGTACCTAGATCATCTACATCACAGCAATGATCACACAATGTACCTAGATATCTACATCACAGCAATGATCACACAATGTACCTAGATATCTTTATCACAGCAATGATCACACAATGTACCTAGATTATCTACAACACAACAATGATCACACAAGGTACCTAGATATCTTTATCACAGCAATGATCACACAATGTACCTAGATCATCTACATCACATCAATGATCACACAAGGTACCTAGATCATCTACATCACAGCAATGATCACACAATGTACCTAGATATCTTTATCACAACAATGATCACACAAGGTACCTAGATCATCTACATCACAGCAATGATCACACAATGTACCTAGATATCTACATCACAACAATGATCACACAAGGTACCTAGATCATCTACATCACAGCAATGATTACACAATGTACCTAGATCATCTACATCACAGCAATGATCACACAATTCTATCACAGCAATGATCACACAATGTACCTAGATCATCTACATCACAGCAATGATCACACAATGTACCTAGATCATCTACATCACAGCAATGTACCTAGATCATCTACATCACAGCAATGATCACACAATGTACCTAGATCATCTACATCACAGCAATGATCACACAATGTACCTAGATATCTACATCACAACAATGATTACACAATGTACCTAGATCATCTACATCACAGCAATGATCACACAATGTACCTAGATCATCTACATCACAGCAATGATCACACAATGTACCTAGATCATCTACATCACAGCAATGTACCTAGATCATCTACATCACAACAATGATCACACAATGTACCTAGATCATCTACATCACAACAATGATCACACAAGGTACCTAGATATCTACATCACAGCAATGATTACACAAGGTACCTAGATATCTACATCACAACAATGATCACACAAGGTACCTAGATATCTACATCACAACAATGATCACACCATGTACCTAGATATCTACATCACAACAATGATCACATGATGTACCTAGATCATGTACAACACAATAATGATCACACAAGGTAGATCATTTAGGTATATCATCCAGGAGAGGCATTCAGAGGATTTTTATGTGGTCATGGCATTGCAGCAGTCATGAAACCTCACAAAACGCTTCAAAATATCCTAGTTCACCCTAAGTATAAAACACCCAAAGAAAATGTCCCAGAATGGGTATACAAAATCATATGCAAGAACTGCCCTGCATAATACATATCAGAGAAACAGACAGGAGATTCGGGGTCCAACTCGAGGAACATCATAAAGATTAGAACTAAAACATTCAAAGTCCGAGATCAATAAATCTGCACTTACAGATATTCCTAACAGCGTAATCATACCATTGACTGGGAAAATACCAAAATCGTCAACAACCTTTTCAGGCAGTTGGTTAAGGTGTTTTTTGGTCTATAATCTCTTTACCATTTCATCACAATTTTCGACCATAGTGTACATAGGACTATAGTATAGCTGGTAAAAATGGTCCATTCTGTACCATCTCATACACTATGTACGTCAGTGCTAGTATGCTCCACACTGATCATTTGTCTGATGAAGGTGCCCTTGAAATCATCAAAACATCACACTCTAATCTTCAAATGGTTTATGTTACAAGAACTTTCATTCTACAAAACTTATCATGTTGAGCCCATTTGATCTTTCCATTACTTTTGTCCTAACTAGCAAACTTACATCCCATTTCATTGTGAGGTCTCCTACACTGCCACCTCCCCCACGGACATGGCTAGGGGCAACTGATGGTGGGGCAGGGTTTGTCTGGTACACATCAGATGGAATGCTGAACTCTCCATATCCAAACGTGTTGATAGCCTGCACACGAAAGCGATACCCGTTGCCAGGACGCAAGCCTGTCACCACATAACTATGCATGTCACTGGCTTCTGTGGTCGGAACAATTGTCTCTATATCTGGGATATCTGCAAGTATATGTATTTCATCTAGTGCATTCCTGTATTTACTATGGACCTTGTTTTACACCAGTACTTACTCTAGGACTTGTTTTACACCTGTACTTACTCTGGACCTTGTTTTATACTTGTATTTACTCTGGACCTTGTTTTACACCTGTACTTACTCTGGACCTTGTTTTACACCTGTACTTACTCTGGACCTTGTTTTACACCTGTACTTACTCTGGACCTTGTTTTTTACCTGTATTTACTCTGGACCTTGTTTTACACCTGTATTAACTCTGGACCTTGTTTTACACCTGTATTAACTCTGGACCTTGTTTTACACCTGTATTTACTCTGGACCTTGTTTTACACTTGTATTTACTCTGGACCTTGTTTTACACCTGTACTTACTCTGGACCTTGTTTTACACCTGTACTTACTCTGGACCTTGTTTTACACCTGTACTTACTCTGGACCTTGTTTTTTACCTGTATTTACTCTGGACCTTGTTTTACACCTGTATTAACTCTGGACCTTGTTTTACACCTGTATTAACTCTGGACCTTGTTTTTTACCTGTATTTACTCTGGACCTTGTTTTACACCTGTACTTACTCTTGACCTTGTTTTACACCTGTATTTACTCTGGACCTTGTTTTACACCTGTACTTACTCTGGACCTTGTTTTACACCTGTATTTACTTTGGACCTTGTTTTACACCTGTATTAACTCTGGACCTTGTTTTATACCTGTATTTACTCTGGACCTTGTTTTACACCTGTACTTACTCTGGACCTTGTGTTAAACCTGTACTTACTCTGGACCATGTTTTTTACCTTGTATTTACTCTTGACCTTGTTTTACACCAGTACTTACTCTAGGACTTGTTTTACACCTGTACTTACTCTGGACCTTGTTTTACACCTGTACTTACTCTGGACCTTGTTTTTTTACCTGTATTTACTCTGGACCTTGTTTTACACCTGTACTTACTATGGACCTTGTTTTACACCTGTATTTACCTTGTTTTACACCTGTACTTACTCTGGACCTTGTTTTACACCTGTATTTACTTTGGACCTTGTTTTACACCTGTACTTACTCTGGACCTTGTTTTTTACTTGTATTTACTCTGGACCTTGTTTTACACCTGTACTTACTCTGGACCTTGTTTTACACCTGTATTTACTCTGGACCTTGTTTTACACCTGTACTTACTCTGGACCTTGTTTTTTACCTGTATTTACTCTGGACCTTGTTTTATACCTGTATTTACTCTGGACCTTGTTTTACACCTGTACTTACTCTGGACCTTGTGTTAAACCTGTACTTACTCTGGACCATGTTTTTTACTTGTATTTACTCTTGACCTTGTTTTACACCAGTACTTACTCTAGGACTTGTTTTACACCTGTACTTACTCTGGACCTTGTGTTAAACCTGTACTTACTCTGGACCATGTTTTTTACTTGTATTTACTCTGGACCTTGTTTTACACCAGTACTTACTCTAGGACTTGTTTTACACCTGTACTTACTCTGGACCTTGTTTTTTACTTGTATTTACTCAGGACCTTGTTTTACACCTGTACTTACTCTGGACCTTGTTTTACACCTGTATTTACTCTGGACCTTGTTTTACACCTGTACTTACTCTGGACCTTGTTTTTTACCTGTATTTACTCTGGACCTTGTTTTTTACCTGTATTAACTCTGGACCTTGTTTTACACCTGTACTTACACTGGAACTTGTTTTAAACCTGTACTTATTCTGGACCTAGTTTTACACTACACCTACACGGACTATGTACCTTTTTCACACCTATATTTCCTCTAGGACTTGCTTTACAGTGTTGAACTTACTCTTGGACCTGTTTTACACCAATACTTACTCTCTACCTCGTTTCTCCACACTCCTGGATCATATTCCATCTCAGACTGTATGAGATAGAAGATGATTGTACGTCCATTGTCATGACCAGGGAACCAGTGTAAACGGATGGAGTAGGAAGTAACAGTTTTAGAATCCCCAAACACTCCGGCAGGTTCTCCAGGTGGTCCTTAAAATCAATGAGAATGCTGTATTAGTACAGAGGGCCCTGAACCATCCAGTCAGGAAACACAATTTGTAACACATGTTTGTGTTCACATTAAAAATTTCTCCATGCTTGGTGACCTTATAATACTAAAAATGCATACCTTTCATTGGGGCAGTTTATCAACAATGTTGTTTCTGTAATGCACAGTCAGATTAGAACCAAAAGAAGTCCTATAGACTTAATATATTTGCCTTTAATGTGAAGATGACTTAATTCAGGTAAGAAATACAATAAAATTAGTCATCTTTTTTATTGAAATTCTGTAATCTGAAACAATACCATAGCAGTACTACTTACCCAGAACATCTAAGAAGCCCGACACTGAGGCCTGATTGAGCGGAGTCTTAGCCACACACTCGTAAGTTCCTTCATGTTTGAAGAGAACATTCTGAATATACAAGCCCTTTAGGTATGATGACACTTCCTGTAAACGAGAGAGTTTCCACTTAGATATAATCATGCTTTTTTTTATTTTCTAATAAATCTGAAAATAAAATGTATTTGTTTTGCTTAGTATCCTTAGTTAAAAAATCATAAAAAGTGTTCACTATTCTACCAGCTGTTTTACAACAGTAATCACAGTGACCTATTAAATTTACCAACATGGTACAATCAATACTCTGTATATTACTGATAGTGTAACGTTACTTAAATCACTCACCACTTTGTAATGGACGTCCACGTCTGGGTCTATATCATGGCCATTGAACTTCCACACATAGACCAGGTCCAGATTGGTATCATACGATGCCTCACACGGGAGGAAGGCCGTTTCATTCATTACCACCTTGGTTTCTGCTTGTGGGCCACGGGTGATCACAGTGCCCTCTGTTAACATTCATAATAAGGACATGTTACTTCAAAAATTCAAACTGAATTAAGTAGAAAACAGGACAAAATTCAGCAGGTTGAAATGATAATTTTCTTTGAATCCTTTCAGGATGTTATTTTTATTGTGGCTACAGTGGACCCATGATAATTCAAACACCAGTATTCTGGGAAAACTTGCAATCTCGATTTCAACAACGTTATTTATACTCAACAGTTGGGAAAGTTATTTCTGGATCTGCATAAGGGAGATAATTGATTGTGGCACCAACAGATGAATAGTAACTGTTGTTTAATAAGAATTCTTTAAGTTTTCAGCAATTATCCTTTAATTTAAACTGAGGAATGAACACACACATGGTCACTTTAGGAAAGCATTCCTTAATATGCATATAAAAATACTGCACATAGGTAAGACCTATATTAAACAAATTAAAAAATCTCGATGTTTCAAATATTCATGAGCCACACCTGAATTCTAAAGTATAGATAAATGTCCTATGATTAACATAAATATCTTGGTGAGATTTACGTTTAATGGTAAGTCGCCCCGAGCTAGTGGCTTTTCCAAGTATGTTCTCTGCCACACAAGTGTACAAGCCATTGTCACCATAGGTCAGTTTAGTCATATATAGGTAGCCATTTGGTAAAAGTCTCACACGGTCCCCCGTTTCCACAGAAGACACCCGCAGGTTCATGTTGGCACCATTTCTGAGCCATGTGATAGTTGCTTTCGGAGCTGACTCAGGTCGACACACAATTGTTAGGTTGCCATTCAAAGCTCCAATGAATTCTTCGGTCACTGGATACTTGGCAAAAGTTGGAGGGAAACCTGCAAAAAAAAGGAAAATAAAATTGTGTAGTAAAAGTTATGAGAATATTTTGACATTATGCTCTAGGATTCACTTGGTTTCATAGTCAAAACCCAAGTCTAAGCAAAAGAGATATAAACTGAAAACCCAAGTCATCCAACATGACAACGGAACAAACTCAAAATCCATCAACGAGGTAAAAACATGAAGAAAAGAAAGGTGTTCATTGAAGACCTTTTAAAATGTACAGGAAGAAAATTTGGGTTCTAGATGGGTAGGATCTTCACAAACACTATGTAAATCCTGGTCAACCTAATTAAGTGATGTCACAATCTAAAATGAGAACAAAACTACCGGGCATTAATGTCAAGCAGAGTATCGGTTAAATAGATGAATGCTCCCCGAAAACAACTTTAATGAACACAAAACACAGAGTATAACTCTGTAATTAAGACATTGTACACCTCAACTTCAGAACAGTGCACATCAGTGTAGTCAGTGTATACACCAAGTCTCATCATTATCATTTTTTAACCATGGACAAAGTCATGCTCTAGATACAAAAACAATACTGTTATTAAGGGATTATGGCTCTGACTTTGATACACCTGTACAATATGATTGATGTCAAGTTTCATTATCCTACTTTCAATGCAAGAAATCTTAAGATATGTAAACTCAGCTGAGTGTTGCAGATTCAGAACCACGTTCTCTGCAGTGCTAAAACTGACAGTTCTACTCACCTACAACCCTGAGCTGTAAAAAGTATAAATTAATGTTGTAACTTGCCTAAAACTCTGATTTGTGTGGAACTCAGGTTAAAACTTACCTAATACTCGGAGCTGTGCAGAACTAAAACTGGTACCATGGACGTTGGTGGCACTACACTGGTACATGCCATCATGCAGATCCTTGTTCAGGGACCGAATCACCAGGTTGTTACCAGTAATGGTCAAGTCTCCACCATTGGAATTTACAAGTTCCACACCATTTTTGTACCACTGGTACACTGGAGATGGATAGCCATTGGCTTCACAGCGCCATGTCAGCTGGCCACCCACATCCACATGTTGGTTCTGTAGTCCCAATATAAAGTAGGGTTTAGCTGAAAGTAACAAAAGCCACACATGTACATTGTTCTATAACCTCCACGTTCATCAAACACCAAACAACACATGTAGATTGTTCTATAACCTTGGCGTTCATCAAACTCCAACAACACATGTAGATTGTTCTATAACCTCAGATTTCATCAAACACAAAATAACACATGTAGATTGTTCTATAACCTCGGATTTCATCAAACACAAAACAACACATGTAGATTGTTCTATAACCTTGGCGTTCATCAAACACCAAACAACACATGTAGATTGTTCTATAACCTCAGATTTCATCAAACACAAAACAACACATGTAGATTGTTCTATAACCTTGGCGTTCATCAAACACAAAACCACTGAGTAGATTGTTCTATAACCTTGGCGTTCATCAAACACAAAACAACACATGTAGATTGTTCTATAACCTTGGCGTTCATCAAACACAAAACCACTGAGTAGATTGTTCTATAACCTTGGCGTTCATCAAACACAAAACCACAGTGATTGTATAACCTTGATCAAACACAAAACACACACATGTTCTATAACCTTGGCGTTCATCAAACACAAAACAACACATGTAGATTGTTCTATAACCTTGGCGTTCATCAAACACAAAACCACTGAGTAGATTGTTCTATAACCTTGGCGTTCATCAAACACAAAACCACTGAGTAGATTGTTCTATAACCTTGGCGTTCATCAAACACCAAACAACACATGTAGATTGTTCTATAACCTTGGCGTTCATCAAACACCAAACAACACATGTAGATTGTTCTATAACCTTGGCGTTCATCAAACACCAAACAACACATGTAGATTGTTCTATAACCTTGGCGTTCATCAAACACCAAACAACACATGTAGATTGTTCTATAACCTCAGATTTCATCAAACACAAAACAACACATGTAGATTGTTCTATAACCTTGGCGTTCATCAAACACAAAACCACTGAGTAGATTGTTCTATAACCTTGGCGTTCATCAAACACAAAATAACACATGTAGATTGTTCTATAACCTTGGCGTTCATCAAACACAAAACCACTGAGTAGATTGTTCTATAACCTTGGCGTTCATCAAACACAAAACCACTGAGTAGATTGTTCTATAACCTTGGCGTTCATCAAACACAAAACAACACATGTAGATTGTTCTATAACCTTGGCGTTCATCAAACACAAAACCACTGAGTAGATTGTTCTATAACCTTGGCGTTCATCAAACACAAAACCACTGAGTAGATTGTTCTATAACCTTGGCGTTCATCAAACACAAAACAACACATGTAGATTGTTCTATAACCTTGGATTTCATCAAACACCAAACAACACATGTAGATTGTTCTATAACCTTGGCGTTCATCAAACACCAAACAACACATGTAGATTGTTCTATAACCTTGGCGTTCATCAAACACCAAACAACACATGTAGATTGTTCTATAACCTTGGCGTTCATCAAACACCAAACAACACATGTAGATTGTTCTATAACCTTGGCGTTCATCAAACACCAAACAACACATGTAGATTGTTCTATAACCTTGGCGTTCATCAAACACCAAACAACACATGTAGATTGTTCTATAACCTTGGCGTTCATCAAACACCAAACAACACATGTAGATTGTTCTATAACCTTGGCGTTCATCAAACACCAAACAACACATGTAGATTGTTCTATAACCTTGGCGTTCATCAAACACCAAACAACACATGTAGATTGTTCTATAACCTTGGCGTTCATCAAACACCAAACAACACATGTACATTGTTCTATAACCTCTGCGTTCATCAAACACCAAACAACACATGTAGATTGTTCTATAACCTTGGCGTTCATCAAACACAAAACAACACATGTAGGCGTTCATCAAACACCAAACAACACATGTAGATTGTTCTATAACCTTGGCGTTCATCAAACACAAAACAACACATGTAGATTGTTCTATAACCTTGGATTTCATCAAACACCAAACAACACATGTAGATTGTTCTATAACCTCGGATTTCATCAAACACCAAACAACACATGTAGATTGTTCTATAACCTTGGATTTCATCAAACACCAAACAACACATGTAGATTGTTCTATAACCTTGGATTTCATCAAACGCCAACAACACATGTAGATTGTTCTATAACCTCGGATTTCATCAAACACCAAACAACACATGTAGATTGTTCTATAACCTTGGATTTCATCAAACACCAAACAACACATGTAGATTGTTCTATAACCTTGGATTTCATCAAACACCAAACAACACATGTAAATTATTCTACAATCTTGAATTTAACCAAACACCCAAGCAACACATGTGCATTGTTCTGTAATGTATCTTTGGATTTCTTGATGAAGATCCCTGATGAAGAAACTTGCTGTGAACATGCTCAAGTTAGACAATAAATGGATTTTTCTGAATTTGACATAATATTTCCCTATTCGATCATAAGATCTGTATGTTGTTCTACATTTCCCTATTCTATCATAAGATCTGTATGTTGTTCTGAGTGTTTCCCAAAATACAAAAGGGTCAATTTGACCCACTTTTGGCCCTGCCCTCCCCTGGGGGAAATGTGAGACCCTGGGGTCATGAAATTTATAATTTTTATAAAGCATTGCAAGACACTTCCATCCATGAAAAGTTTTTGGCTCTATGTTATCTGGGTACTGAGAAGAAGAATTATGAAATTTTAGTCAATTTGACTCATTTTTGGTCCTGCCCAACAGCCCCTGGGTGTCAGTCGAGGTTAATATGTGCATCTCTGTTAAACCGTTATCTTAATCTAATAGATATATCCAGGTAAGAAATATTTCCAATAGAAAATAAATAATGTTCAAAAATGTGATTTTCCAATAAAAACTATAGTAAAACTTGCCCCTCCCCAGGGGGAAATGTGAGACCCTGTGGTCATGAAATTTACAATTTTGGTAAAGCATGTGAAGACCTTTCCATCCATGAAGAGTACTTGATCTTAACATACCTGGGATTTAAGAAGATTTTTTTAAAGTTTCTATCAATTTAACCCCTTTTGGCCTGCCCCTCAGACCTCTGGGAATTGGGGACCATGAAATTTACAATTTTAGGGCGCCCTCGTCCATGGGATAATTTTGAAAAATTCAATGAAATCTGTTCAGGAATTTACCAGAAGTAAAAAAAGTTTACAACGCACAATGCCGGACAAAGGGAATTTCAATAGGTCAACCCGAGACTGTCTCAGATGACCTAAAAATCCAAGATAGACATGTTGGTGGACAGAATCCTGTCACAAAGGAAAGATACATCAAAGATGAAGTAATGGATTGACATGAAGGGATGACTACCCTATATCACAAGGAATACCAGTAGGGGACCAGGGTATAATGGTGTCAGTACAATCATTGACTTCAGAAAGTAAAATAAACGGGATAATTTTTGCATTAATATGTATTTTATAATTTGTGCTAAAATTGCCATGGCACATCTATGACAATGAATGAGAATGCTGGCCAGAAAAAAAGAGACTTCCTGGATAAAGCTACAGGCAACATAGCTGGCAAAATCAACTCTGATTTGCAAAAATATATGTCTCCATGCAAATATGTCAACTTACAGGAGTGTGTAGCACTACTTACCCTCCAGTCGGAGGTAGAGTGTTTTACTGTCCGCTGCCTTGTTGCCACGGCGAACCAAACAGGTGTAGTTGCCTTGATCCTCTAATCGTGCATTCTGGATAATTAAAACACGGTAAAAGTTTTCATACTTAGCGGTCTCTGGCATTGGCTGGCCCTCTCGACTCCAGCTGTAATGCCACATGTCCATGTAGTTCTGGGCCCTGGGAAACAAGGACAGATATCAGATAACAAAATGAAAGACTTGCTATATGTCATGAATGCAGGAATACTAACACATGTATTACAGCCTTTAAAAGAACACTACATATATTCAATGATATAATTTGAAATAAGATAATTTCAAAATTCTTGCAAGACAGAAAGAAGTAAGGCCATTCCAAAAGACTGGTGTGGATTTACAAGAGGAACAGTAAAGCCTTTATATAAACAGCACATTATGATGTCAAAGTACCAACTTAGCCGAAATATAATCAGCACATTATGATGTCAAAATACCAAATTAGCCGAAAGTGAACAATTCATGACAAAAGTCTTACGATCCATAAGCAAAACACTCCAGTCGGACATCCTGACCCTTTAGAGGAGGCTGTGGAAACACTGCAATGAAATCATCCTGGATGACTGGTCCCCAGTCAGTTTTGGCAGCTGCAGATATACAAAATGGTTTTATCATTTTACAACGTCTAAAGGACATGTGCTAGTGTTATTAACATAGTCAATTATTCTTTCAAACACAAAGTAGATGACACTCTCACAGTTGAACATTTTCGGTATAGTTATTGTAAATTTTTGTACTTTAAAAGAATCATTTTTCTGATGTACTTTGCTGGAATTGTGACAAGTGTAGACAAATTGTGATAATGTATCAAAGAAAGTAAAAAAAATTTCACAGGACAAATATAGAATTATTTACATGCAGTGATTTTGGGTGACATCATTTCACACCAATATACAAGCTAATAAAAACTTCCAATGTAATGCAGTAAATGATGTATGAAATAATAAACAACATTCGTCACCATGTTCAAAGAGAGTATTTGATTACCTTTGAAAATAATATAAATTGTGAATTGTACTGGCATTCAAGCCATTAAGCAGATAATGAATGGACTTATACTTTAAAATGTGAACAACTTTGACCTATGAAAGTAATTTTGAGTCACCATCATTTATGAAGAATCACCTTTACACCAAGTTACTCTAGCTGCATTGAGTTACTTTGACTGACCTAGATTTAGACCTCTAGATAGCGAACCTGACCTTGACCTATACCTTGAGATACTGCAATTATCCTTGACTTATAGCCTGAAATACCTTGACTAACCTTGACCTAAAACTTGAGCAACTGTCTGTAACAGTGTCTCACTTTAACCTTTACTGTGAGTTACTGCCACAGACCTTTATCTATACCTTTAATAACTGACCTTGACCTTGAGCATGTGTTATTGTGATGACCTTGACTAAAGAATGTGTAACGGTTACTGACCTAAACCTTAAGCTTGTGCTACAGTGACTGATCTGGGCTTTTTATGGGGTGTCTTAGGGGCCGATATACAGCCCCATTCCCCATGAGATTTAGCCTTCAATTTTCCCAGTTTCAGAATTCCTCCCCCTCCAAGTCTGATGATGATGCATATTTGAACCTTAAAAGCATGTTTTATGACCAAAATAAAATATTTAGAAAGTGAAAATGTTAAGTGCAGGTTGCAATCAACATTTGATGACAATCTGCTTGAAAAACAAACTCTTAAGTCATGAATATGCAAAGTGTCTTGTTGACCTATATATAGAGAGTCATTGAAATGAAGTATTTTTTTGCAAAGTGCCTTAGGAAAGCATTTCTTCAACATTGCATATTGTGTATGATGTCTGTCATCATGTCCTCACATAATGCCAAGTAAAATGCAGGTTACCGTATGTAAAATCTAGAAGGAAAACGCTGCAAACAACAGTAAAATACTTGACATTTGACAAAGTCTGGTGAACCAAAACAAAGTGTTTCAGTTCAAACTGACACGTGAAATATCAGGCCAATCGATGGGTGTTGGTCAAAATGTTTTCCAAGAGTATCTTCAGTAACAAACTTGATAAACATTGTTCCAACTTTAGAAGAGAGGATTCAGTTTGATGAAATGGCTGTTAAAAGTAGGGGCATTTTTTTCAAACCTGATGGTTATTTGTGTTGAGGGTCTGAATGAAAAATTTAGTCAATATACTGGTTTTTGTTGACGGACATATTTTGCTGACATGTCAATGCTTTTTTCTGAATTTTACAGAGGAGCCTTTTCCCCAATTTACCCAGAAAAAGCCCTGCTGATCTTGACCTTAGACTTGTGCTACAGTGACTGACCTTGGTCAATGATACTGAGTGTGATGACCAGACTGGTTTTACTTGGCGCCTGTGATGTCCCTAGAGCAGTGCCAGACAGAGCCGTCAGTGTGATTTGACAGTAATAGTCCCCCTCATCCACTCGGGTCACCTCAGAGAAGTATAGCTGACCATTACTGGAGATGAAGGTATACGGTGTTGTAGAGGCAAATATATACTCCTTCTTTTCCCCTCTCTGCCAGTTAAATACCGCAGCTGTATCCAAAATAAAACATTTCAGTTTCAATTATGAAAATTTTCGACAATTTTTTGAAGTTGCAATAATTCTATTAATATAAGTGTTTTGATTTTGTCTACAAATTCAAATCTAGTAACTTTTTAATTTTAATGAATAAGAAAAAGAAGCAAACGGGATGATGACATGGCATAAAATGTGACACATGTTGGTTCTCATTACCTGGTTTGAATTTGATGTTGCTACATTTGATCACAGCCCCATCGTAGGCAAAGGCGTACACAGGTGCGTCCTGTACATTCGAGAAGTCCCCCAAGACTGCAACCATAAGTATTTAGTCAAGGTTAAACTTCAGTGGTTAATAAATGTCATAGTCATTTTTGCATGGATACTTTGTAGAAACAAGTAAACTCTTTATACTTAATGCTAGTTAATTACAAAGGCCTCAGACTTGGAAAAGACAAACCATCTAATACCCAAGAAAGACTGCAATATTCTCTTAAGCATTTCTAGACACTGACAAGCTCATAAAATACAGCAAGGTAAAGCCTTCTCCTGCCAAAATTTGACATTCTCATCTACACTTCAACAATAATGCAATGCAAACAATCCATAATGTTATTTTTAATCATAAATATTTTAGTGTTTATGCTGAGTTTGACATTCTTTCTCCATGATGACTATTCCACGTGTCAGCTTGTTATGAATGCAGTGGTTTTCTTTGGCATCAGCAAAATTATCTTCTGTGCAATAAAAGTTGGTACAGGGCACATGCAACTTATAACGTGTTTGTCACAATAAACGTTTTCATACTGAACTTCTGATAAGCTTTTATAGTTCCAATAAAGTTCATTTCATGACAAGAAAACAGCAATCAAGATTTGTTTTATATCCAACAAAAGACTTGGTTATCTATGTCAAGTGAGACTGAATTAGTCCTCTGGTTATTTCTTTATACATTTCTATCCTGATGTTTATGCTTACAAAAAAATTATTAATGATATTCAAATAACTCACAACCAAAAGAAAGAGACACCGGATCACTGAATATCTTTCCATATTTGTTCTCTATGGTACACTGGTAACGTTCATTAGCATCTGCATCTTCGTTAGGATTCTGGATCGTAAGTTTTCCGTTGGTTAGTGTAAATCGGTCGTCCACACTGGACGTTATCTGTCAAAGAAAAACCAAATTGAGAAAGACAGAAAGGAAGAATACAACAATAGGATAACCGATTTCATGTCTCTCTGGTTACATTCAAAGTTACTTTGACACGTATGCTGACTCTATCTTAAAAGTTAAAATTATTAATTAATGTAATTTTACCACAAAATTTACTTTCTGATAAATTGTTAACTGAATAAACTTTGACCGTAAACTTACCATCACCTCAGAACCATTGACCATCTTGTACCAGGTATATTGGGGACGTGGGTTTCCAAGGGCACGACATTCCAACACAGCCTTAGTTGCCCGTGAAACCACTATAACACTCTGTGGCTGCACTGTCATCTGTGGTCCAAACATGATGTCGTCCATATTTGACACCACTTGTCCATAATCTGAATAGTAGAATGTTGATACCTAAGAATAAACTTTATTTAGTTCTTTGAAAATTTGACTTTCTTTAGTGCAAGCCATCCTACAAATACTGGTGGAAGATCACAGCATTACACAATCGTAAAATCAATTGTTTCAGTATTAAACATGCAATTGATCAATATTCTTAATCAATATATCTTAAATTCACTAGAACAGAATATTGATGACATTCACAGGAAATTCTTCCTTAATTACTGATAAAGCTAAATTTGCAATAAACATCACTATGAAATAACTTATTATCATCAGGAATTTGTTTTTGTTGATTTCATTAATTATTTTCATCCACAACTCTATATAAGTCCATGTAGAACTAGATTTATTTGGCAATATTTATCCACGAAATCAAGTGTCCGCAAAAAAGTAGCTTTTTTGGGGAAAAAGATGGAAAATACATGATTTTACACTTAGGGTTTGGTATCATAAAAAGATTCATTTTTATTGAAGGGAATAATATAATAATGATTTCTACAAAAAAAATAAGGTTAATTCCATAAAGCATTACAACGACTATTTTCTAAAATAAAAGACTTTTTTTTTTCAATCCTAATTACCGAAGTCTCGTTTCTCCTGCACTAGTCGATAAGCTTCCTCCTGACTAATCTCACAGATGTAAGAGAGCATCACATCCTTAGCCGATTTACTCCACCCATAACTGGCACCTGTAAAAATGCATCCAACAATCCTGCTACACACATATATGGTACATAAATTGAAATCTAGAACAGCATTACCATTACTAGTAAGAGTGCCATGGCCCAAAACGGTCATTTGACCATCCATGAATGGATGAACAAACCACAGAATTTGGCTGAAGGCATTTAGAACGAGTAGCATTTTGAAACAAAATATCGTCTAATTTCACATCCATGGGGCCCTGCCCCCAACTCCTGTAACGTCAAATCAAATTTCCGAATAAGATCATAAAACATTAAGGAAGAGTAGGATTTCAATGGCAAATGGTGCACGATGACAGATGATGCATGATAGCAATAGGACATCTTGACCTTTTTGGTCAGATGACCTAAAAATGTATTTCGTTTCAGAAAACTCAAGGCAAACATTTAAATCAATTGCTTTTTAAAAGTGTTTGCAAATAAAAAAATATAACACCTGATCTTTAAATATGTTTTAGCACAATGAATCAATAACCTAAGTTTTAGTCGGGCTGTTATTTCAAACTGATATCCACAGGTGCAGAATTCAACACTATTATTGAAGGTGCATCAGGCAAAATTAGAACACAGATGTGTTACTCTTACACTGATCCTAGAAATATAGCTGTGATTGGTTTATTTACTGACATATCCAAGGAAGTCAATTTTCTAAATCACAGCAGTAAAAGTGATAAAATAACTAATTAAATTACCATCAAATTTGTAGACGATGACTTCGCCCTGAACATTGTTCTGGTTGGCAAGCCAGAACTGTAGATCTGATGAGATTAAAGAACTATCACTGGCCCATCTATAGACATTGGAGCTTCCTGTTTCCTGAATACCACTGGTGTACCATACATTCCTGAGGATGTAAATCAGTTAAGGTATATTCTACTAATTGAGAACATTTAACAGTCTTCTAATTTCAGACGGCTTATTTTTGAAGAATGATATATTTGACTGTGAAATTGTACTGCTACAATATAGGCTAATAAAATAGCTTCCTCCAGTCTCCTACAAAAGTGTATTTGAATGCATATTTACTAATTCTCACCTGTAAAAGTCATTTTGTTGCAGCCAATTGTTGATAAAATTATGCTCACTTAGACTGCCCACTGACAATAAGGACGATCCCATTATCTACAACCATCAAGAAAGTTACTCATCACAAAAAGTAAAACGCTGAACTCAACAAGGAGGTAATTTTTTCATGATTATCTTAATTAGTATATATGACTGTTTCTGAATTCCGTTTATGAAACTCTCAGTTTGATAAAACACATTTTTCTCTTATATGAACAGTTAAATTTTTTCCCCACAGTATTTCAAAAGAGTTCCATCACAATGATAGATAAAGAAACTCGAAAACTGTTTATTACTGATCATAATGAACAACTACAATGCCTGTTTCTGACGACATATTGGTAAATGTAAATGTTATGTTGTTGTGACGGAACAACTTATTGCCTGAATGTAATCATACTACTGTAATTTCAAGTATTCATACAGATTATTTGCAGTTTAATACTTACTGCACAGGATGCACGCGCTTCTTCATAAGAGGCCTTTGGGTCAAACAAAAACTTGTAACAAGTGAAGTCGTTGTTTAACCAATCGCTAGGGCAGTCTGAAAAAATAAAGGAAGATTAAATGATTGTAAAAACAATCTAACTTCTATCTGTCACGTCAAGATGACCTTTTTCTGATTTCAGGAGACAATTAATCTTTTTTAATATTTAGGGACAAAATGATGATATATCTCTAATAGACATGTAAAGCTATTTTAACAATTAAATCATCCTTGTGCAACTTTAAAGCAAAATGCCTTATGGGCCTGCATCACTTACTTGCTAAAACAAACTTGTACAAATTGTTAATCATAACTGATCTACCAATCAGTCTGTGCTTGGTATGACTAGAACTGTACCCAGGATGGCAGACTAATATATACCCACTCACCAATCAACAGTAAAGAAGGGTTTTTTCAGAGCAAAGATTCAAGAGGCCTTCATTTGGACACTGTGGCAACCAAATGCGACCTATATATACATTTTTCCAAATTCATCGAATAATATCTTGATTTCAACCAATCAGAAACCTGCAATGTGTTAATAAGCTTTGGAATTTTATCAAGCTTAAATGAAATCAGTAAAAATGCCAATAGCTATGGCACTCTATTTGGAAACCTGTGTATAGTGACCTGGTTACCATGGCAACCACAATTTCTACTAAAAAAACGTGCATGACTATCAACACATAGTCTCTAACATCCCTATGTCGTTTCATTGAAATTGGTCCACAACATTAGAAGCCTGGAAAAGTTCTCTTTAATTATGGATCTTATGTGGTTACTATAGCAATCAAATGGCATTGAACGTTTTTGAAAATGGCACCATTGTAATCACATTCCCTCAACACCCTTACATATCTTTATTCAGCACAATCGGACAATATCCCAATTTTAACCAATCATAAGCCTCCATTGTATTTCCAGGATAAGGGTTCTGGAAACATATGATGTGTAAAATTACTAGCATTGATAATTTACATTACGTAACCAAGTTTCAATTAAATTGATCAAAAAATTCTATGAACAGACTGAGATACAAGCTGATTGCAGTATATCCACCCTAACCTGACTACAGGGAAAGAGAGTACCAACCCACTTATACTAACAAAATCCTGCAGTAAGCTGAATAAATGAAAATGTTAAAGAATGACAGTTGTTAATTTACCAAACATAGTTGCTGAATCTGTTCCTGTCAGCAGCAGGGTCAACAAGTACACTGGTAACATACTCCTGGTCACACCTGTCAATGATAAGAAAGATTTATCACAGAATAGCACTGTAAATGATAAAAAAATCAAGGCTCACTGATCTTATCAACTTGATATCACATCTTGTAAAATTAAGTCATAGCCATCTATTATACAACAAAACAATTTTCTAGAAAGTCAAAAGAAATCAAGATTTCACAGGATAACTAACTTAATTACTTAGAAAGTACCTATCTGTGCAAGTCATAGAACAGAATAAAAAACAAAACAAAATTGTTTATGATGATGATCTTCGTACAGGACTGACTGGCCATCGATTTAGATGGCTGTCACGGATGTTACTGGGAAATCAAACTGTCAACATTTTAAAATTGTGTTCTGACAAGGGTGTAAAAAAAACCCACAAAACTCACTAAATACAATCAGGCCCCTGATACAATGTATCTCACAAAATTAAGCCAAGAAAAGAATATTTATGCAAAATATTTCATTATAACTATACTTGTTTTTTATTGTACTTGATAAGACTGATTGATATGATAAATCAAGTTTGTTAAATATAATGTAACTAATAGATACCAGAATGATTTTCTATACATATAAGGGGAGAACGGACACACAAGCTCAACTGATCTCATGCTCAATATTTCATTACACATGAATCCATAGCCAATGTCAGTAAAATATCTCTACCAGAAAATTTAGTCACAAGCAACTAAAAAATCATCCAATGACCTTAACCTTTTGACCTCTGATCTATAAATAAGGAGGCTTTCCTAGTTCTAATTATGTCCTCATATGAAATAAGTGAGACTTTGCAACAGTATGGTGTGGTGCTTAAGTTGTCTGGTCTTTTTGACCTTGAGAAAATCCTTCTTAGTAATAGGTGTCATGATCTCGGAAAATCATCACAAAAGTGATTAGAATTTATCAACAATTTTTGTATAAACTACAACTCATGACCAAATTAGCTATATTTATTTCAAACAACAATTACCCATTATGTTTTTGCTGTGTGCTGGGTAAGATTCTGAAAACAGTTTAAAGCAAATATTAAAATAAAGATTAAAAGTATTAGACACTGATAATTATTATCTGCAGTGAAAACAACATTATAGCATTAACATAACAGGTATCAGCTATAACTTTATCTTTTAACAACACCAATACAAATGTTTCGGGCCCACAACTTGCTGAATCTGTGTGAAAACTTTGCCGTCGTAAAAGGACCACAGTTGCACCTTTAAATCATTGTACACGTTATCTCTGTGAGATTGTATTGGAAAGCAGAGCTTGGTGAATCATATTTACTATCACACATATATCCCTACAACTGTCACCCGAGGGCGTGGATAGCTGATTAATTACCTCGCGCATATTAGTCCGCCATTTTGTATAGGCGGTTTTGTCTCGAACAAACTTATATATACATTTGTACATTAAAAACAAAACAGTTCAGCGACATGTAAATTTATCATTCCTCTTGCAAACCATAATATCGCCATAGCAGATTTTTAATGAGCAGAAATCAAATTAGATCTAGCCTAGTGCCCCATTTCTCGACAGATTATCAGAAATTAAAAGAAAGTGAAAACATAGGGAGTTACGTATTGAGCGCGTCATGTCGACACCCATACGATAACCATATAACCTTTCACCATAGACTTAAAACACTTTCATTCATAAGCTAAATTTCTTGTTACTTACACAATATTGAAAACAATGTTAATGATTTTAATCAGTTTGTTCTTGAACTGAGAAATAGCTTACCTGTATTTTTCACCTGAATATGTAGCGCCTACCATCCATGGGTTGGTATTCCGAAGTTTATAATTACTACACTTTAACAATGAATGCCCTTCAAACTCTCCTTCCTATTATGCATCAGCATTTATATAGGAGTCGAATGACACTTGAGCCTTTCTTCAGTGTATAGAAGGATGAGAGTTATCTGATCAGCCTCAAAAAGGACGATACTCTTCACGGTTTAGTGATGGCTTGTTGACGGTACGGTCCGATGATGCCCGAGCATTCTTCCGCTGTTGTTCATAGCAGTGCGCTAGCCCCCGGGCATGTCCTGTACGTTCTCATTCACTGGGTCACACGGGCGACCCGGGGAGTCACCTGGATTATGTAATATAGCGAAAACGACACCTCTAACCAATGAAAAGAGATAATATCCCTCGTTAAACCTGTCAGTCATATTTCAGCAATTAAGAAATTAATGCCAATTATTTAATGAGTGACCCGAGGATCTGGTAAGACAAGCAGTATATATATATTAGCGATTTTGAATAGAGGGGCATGCTACTTGTCGTGATCTGTTCAGTTAAAAAAAAATTAAACGTGGTTTTAAATTCATCGAAAATTTTCGGTGCTCGAAAAATGTAGAGCTATTAACAGTAAACTGAGTGAAGACAGTATCTGTTAAGTCGTGAATAATTATAAGGTATGAACGGTTTATGTGATCCGACATCATGCGAGCGGAAAAAAATCACCAATATATACACGGCATGGGTGAGTTGTAACTGTAGACTTTTCTAACCTTAAACACTCGGAAGATTTCACACACTACAACATAACGCCATACTGGCATTCGTCATGATGTCATCACTTCTTTAACACAATGACAACACATTCCGTCTTCACCAAGTTGACGTTCAAAAATTCTGATGTCACCAAGTTAACAATTAATGAATATGTACAAAATGGTTATATACCAGATATTGTCAGAATCTTCAAGAAGTATAATTTATTCCAGCATTTCGAACTTTTACTGGATGACGGTACTTTTCCAAACAAAACACATTGGAAGTAACTGACTTATAATTCTGTAAAAGACTATGAAACAAATGCATGGTTACAAAGAATGTCTAACAACGCAGAGTTTTCAAGATTTAAACTACTGCACGATTGTTTAAAACCACACTGTTTGTGGAAACTAGCTCTGTATCACCCTAGTTCTCTCGATAATATCCGTTATGTAATCAAACTTATTATTTCCATACGAAACTCAAATACACAATTTTTGTGTCATTTTTGTGGATATTTTTATACAGATATTGTGAATCATGCAATTCTACATTGTTCATTAACAGAAATTGTACGTGACGATTTATGGTGCGCAATTGTATCGTTTTCGAGTATTGAATTTATTTCGTACTTACAATCGTTGCCAGATTATATATTGCTTCACATTTTACTAGGAGGTCCTCTGGCATATCAGTTAGACAAACATGATTTTGAACAATTTAGACTGAAGTCAGCATGTTCTATAAAAAGGATGCTTGAACTATATGGCTATGTATAGTGCGCCAGGAGGCCTTCTGTATTATGTACACTTAAAACCTATTATTGTGACATATATACTTAGAATGTAATTATTTCATAACATTATAACTTGCAAGATAATTCTTCACGGAGTATAAATTACATAAAACTAACATATTGTATGTATAATCATAATTTGTAATATCTGCATTAATTTCCACCTTAATTGTATGCTTTTCATGTTGATTTATTTTGTAATTTGTATGTAATGCTCTTCATCTTTGGAGAAAATAAAGACAATAATAATTAAATTGACACCCAGCTGAACCTTCATAAAATTTTACTAAGTTTGATAGTCTGATGTTACCTAGCTTTAACACAAAGACAACACATTCTGACGTCACCAAGTTAACTTTTTAAATGGACATCCAGCTGAACCTTCATAAAGTTTTACTAAGTTTAATAGTCTAACGTTACCAAACACAAATTACAACAAAAAGACAACACACTCTGACGTCATCAAGTTTAACATTCTGACGTCACTGAGCTTTTTCACACACTTTACAACACAATGACAACACATTTGATTTCAAGTTTAAAGGTCTGATGTCATCAAGCATTCACATACACCCTACAACACAATGACAAGACATTCTTACTTCACCCAGTTCAAACAGTCAGACGTCTTCAAGCTCTCACACACATTTTACAACACAAAGACAACACATTCTGACGTCATCATTTTTAACAGTCTGACATCACCGAGCGTTCACACACACTCTACGACACAATGGCACCATGACAACGTGTACATCATCCAAGCTGCCACGCATATTCAACAGCATAATGACGACGTATCATAGTCTGACGTCATTAAGCCACACCCCCTCCATTATTTGTTATAGAAAGTTATGGCTACACACGTTGTGTTTTCTGTTTAGAAACTGTCACTGTGTTTCTGTCTTTTTAGCGAATTGCTAACTTATTCATCCGTAAATACATGCATTTGAATTCTGGCATCCGTGATATTTCTTTACTTCACAAATAATATTAAGTATGTCCCTTTTCTCAAGGTAAGTGAGACTCATATAGAGCCTGTGACGACTCCTAAACAAGATAAATCGATGTCAATTATTAGTCTATTATTTCAGATATCAAAATTGGAGTTGCCTCCCCTGTCACACGCTGGTGTTTATATGGCATCGTTGCGTAATTTAGTTCAGCCGCGGATATATCGCAGAAACCATCGACTTAAGAACCACCTACAAAGTAAAGCATCTCAGAACTACTAGTTCTTCAGATTACATGGACTGTAGAACCAACTACAAAGTAGATTATCCCAGAACTACTAGTTCATCAGATTACATAGACTGTAGAACCAACTACAAAGTAGATTATCCCAGAACTACTAGTTCATCAGATTACATAGACTGTAGAACCAACTACAAAGTAGATTATCCCAGAACTACTAGTTCATCAGATTACATAGACTGTAGAACCAACTACAAAGTAGATTATCCCAGAACTACTAGTTCATCAGATTACATGGACTGTAGAACCAACTACAAAGTAGATTATCCCAGAACTACTAGTTCATCAGATTACATAGACTGTAGAACCAACTACAAAGTAGATTATCCCAGAACTACTAGTTCATCAGATTACATAGACTGTAGAACCAACTACAAAGTAGATTATCCCAGAACTACTAGTTCATCAGATTACATGGACTGTAGAACCAACTACAA